TAAGCAAATTTCATGTCGGCGTCCTCATCCTCAAGATGTTCGAGATGAGGCCAGACCTCAAGGAAGGGTCGAGTCTGGGAAGTGCCAAGGGCTGCGGCATGTCGGAGCTCAGTCTCCAGCTGCGAAGAATTTGCGCACCTTTCGTGATTGGCATGCCGTGAGCCGGCTACTGCGCTCTTGACTCTCTGGCTGTTGGTTGCTCTAGGTTTGTCGGCATCTCTCGCATGAAATCCTTCACAGACACGTCCCAGCGCTCAGCTGCCGCACAGTGCTCTCAGTCTGTACGTGATCACACCAATGAGGGCAACATCGCTATCCAGGCTTTTGCAAAGCAAGTTCGGGTCTCAAAATCGTTGGATGCGCCACGCGCATGTTGCCTCAGCCTAAGATGGCTGTGCAACAATTTCATCGAAGTACAATCCGTACTTCGAGCTTTGCCCCCTTAGCCGGCAATCTTCACCTTCGAGCTTGACGGCAAGCGCGCCGGGACCACAAAAGGGGCCCAGCTCCAAGAACGTCCACTCCTCTTCTGGCAAAGACGAGAATGCCTTGGCGCTCAAGGTTTTCACCTCCGAGTTGTTGAAGTAAACGATCACGTCGGTGTCGAACCTGATCCGATGCTGTCTCTTCACCTTGAGGAAAACTTGCCAGTCACCACCCTCCAGGTCCAGGCTCGCCCAAGCGGTGAACCAGCAGACACCATCCAACAAAGACACTTGGCGATGTAATTCCTGCACCTGTTTCACCCAACGGGAGTCTTGAAACCATGCGCCGTCCACTGGCGCTGTGACTCGGCAACGACTCAGAAGTGCTGTCAAAGCATGCTCTGTCTGGTCCTGGGGCAGGCAGTCTTCCACGGGCACCGTGTCTGCCAACTCGACCTTTCCGTAGAACAAGGATTTCTTCTGGGCTGCCACTTCAGGCATAAATTGTCTCTTCAGGTGCAATATGTCAGTTTCCTTCGGCACAGATCCGCGGAAAACCGTCGCTCCTGAAGGCAGCGTGATCTTGATGTACAGCATGGAAGCTATCTCTGCAAGCTATGCCGGAACGTGGGGGAGGACTTAAGCAAAAGCTCGACGGAAGCAGGATCCAATGCATCCAAGGCAGCAGGCAGTCTGTCTGCAAAGCTCTGAACGGTTGCTTGAGTGCCCTCAAGTGAACTCTGCAATGCCAGCAAACCCCTGAAACCTGGTGGCTCGCCGTCTCCGGCAAATTTTACGACCACGGATACTGTACTTGCATGAGTTGGCAATAAAACCAGCAGTACCAGGCAACACAGGATACAAATCAGCAGAAAATTTCCCGGTCTTTCCGCCCGATCCGGATTGTTGATCTGTTCCTTTCTGTTGTCGTTCTTGTTGCCATAATGAGTCGTTTACATGAGCGGTCCTACTCGGGCAAAGGCCAAACCCAGTTCCTTGTCGCAGTTTCGCCTCCAACGCGGCCAGGGGAACTCACGCAAAACCAACGAGGCTCCGGTTGGGGCAAAACCCGATGAGGCGCTCGAGGTCAGCGCTTTCTCCATGTCTATTCTATGGCCCAGCGCGTTCAGGGGTCAGCAACTTTTTAAATCAACTCAATGCAGCACGTCGCAGTTCCAGGTGGAAACGTCAACAGCAAAGCAGAGCGTGTCGAACTCAACTTCAGCAACTCATCAGCAGCTGCGATGCCTTCTTCAAGCCCTTCGTCTTCTTGCAATCCTGCAGGCTGCACCATCATTTGCCTTCTGACTGCAGTGTAGTGAGTGTAGTGTCACTGAAGCACTAGCATCCTCAGCCGGGACCTGATAACGATATGGTCATTGAGGAGTTTTCTCATCGATTCTGGTGTATAGGTATGAATCTGCTGCAACTGCGCAGTTGCCACATCGTTGATCTTGTTGTTGCCCCTGCTCCGGCTGCTGCAGCTATTGCTGCTCGTGCATTGCCTCTCTTGCTGCTGATGCTAGCGATGATAACCATCTCAATTTCAAAACGATGATGATGATGATAATGATGATGATGACGGTGGCGATCGATGACGATGCTGATGGTGGCGGTGATGGCAGTGCGGATGCTGATGTGGATGGTGCTGTGATTGTCGCTGCCGTCCCGGTCGCCGGGGGCATTGTTGGCCCAAAGCCGCTGCTTCTGTGGCAGACAACGTGTCTCACTACTGGGCTTGGTTGAGCTTCTTGCCGTTCTCTCAAGAGCTGCAGCCACTCTTATTGCATGTTGCCGTCCGTCTGTGGTAGGAATGTCTGACAGCTGTGGCCCGCCTCTTTGGTCATGCATTGCAGCGTTGCCGCCATGCGCTGCCCTTCTACTTGTCTTGCCTCAGCTCAGCTCATGCAGTAACAGGCATGGTTTGTTGCCACCAAGACCACACCACCCTAGGTCGAACCACATGGCCGATGTCTACATGCTTCCGCACCGGTCTCGGGTTCGTCTTGCATGGCGTTGGCCTGATGCACTAGAGCAGCCTTCCTCGGCAATGCAAAACTCGAAATCCTCCCAAGTACTCAGAACCTACATTCCCCAAATAAACCCTAAACCCTAAACCCAAAACCCTAAACCCTAAACCCTACATTCCCCAAATCCCTAAAGGGCTTGCAAACCTCCTAAAACCCCAAAGCCCCAAATCTCCCTCACAATCCGGCAAACCCAGCTTCATAACTTCCAACACTATATCTATACCAATATAGAAAAGTGTATATTGTACTACACAATCAACCGCTCTATAGTTCTATATTATATTATGAATACAAATGAAAACAGTAGTCAGTAGAAGTAATGATTTAAGTACCAGGCCTTGCCCTGCTCGGCCAAGGCCTCTGCGATGGAGTCCAACGCCTCCGAGTCCAAGAATGCTCGTACGAGCTTTCTAGTATTCCGGGGATTTCCAGGCTTTGCGTTGAGGCATAGGGGGGCTACTGGGCTTAAGTGGGGTGGCAGGGCCTAAGATTTTTGGATTCAGTCTGGAGCTTGATGCAGGAGGTATCGGTGGTACAGGCAAGGGACCATGGTGAGAAGCAGAGTAGTAGAGTCGTCGTCGTGGTAGCGGCGGTGATAATGATCAGGGTACTGGTGATTATGGTCATGGTCATGGTCTTGTTTCCTGGTTCCTGGTCCCTGGCGGCGCCGCTTGTGGCGGCTGTGGTGGTAGTGGTAGTGGTAGTGGTAGGAGGCAGTAGTACTTCTTGTTGTTGACAGCGGTCGTCGTGGTCCTCGTCCTCGTTGCTTGTAGTGGTTGCGGTTGATGGTGCTACTGCTGTTCTTGCTGATGCTATTTGTTTTTGTGGCTGCAACTGTTTGCTGTTGTTGCTGCAGTGTTTTGGGGTTGTGGCGGTTTTGTTGTCGTCGCCCTGGCAGATGGCGATGATCGAAACCAAGCAAACACCCCGGTCGTCGTGAGCAATACGACGCACCTCGCGGGGAACTGCTCCGAAAGGCATTTCCTGGCGCCATCGGATCGAAGACCCTAAACCCAAAATCCTAAACCCTAAACGCCTAAAGCCCAAAATCCTAAACCCTAAACCCTAAAGCCCAAAATCCTACACAAATGCCCGGAGCGATTCTCAGCGAGTCCAGTGCATGTGGAGCTGAGTCGGAGACCTCCTCGTAGCCCAGGCCGACCTGAACCCCAGGCAGCCGATCATGTGTGGGTGCGCGTGCATGTATAAGTTGTATAAAAAAGTGCATGCACGTGTGTGTGTGTATGTGTATATATATATATGTATGTGAATATATATATATATATACATATATATATACATATATGTATGTGGAGAGTGTAGAGCGAGTCCTTACAGAATGATTTACGTTCTTACAGGTATCATACACTGTCGCACAAACACGTGCGCGTGCGGACGGGACCCGGACTGCGTGTCTTTGAGGCGCAGGCCACATTGAGGCGTCCGCCTGCCGAGGCCACGGAGCTCGCGAGAGTGCAAAGGTTCGGATGCGCCGAGTCCTTAAGAAACAGGGAAGCCCTTATAGGGGCTTAGGGCCTCTTTGGCTTTCTTAGGGCTTTCCAACAGCTAGGGCAGCTAGGGTGTGAAGCTTGGGAGTTCAAGGGCGCAGGATGCTGGGTCAAACAGAAGTTGCTCTTTTTTACCGACTTTCACCGGGCCCCTCGCCGCGAAGGCAAAGACGTGGACCGCCGGCGAGGATCGCATGGCATAGTGCGAGGCCACTGCCTTGTTGCTTTGTGCTGCAGCCCTGCCCTGGTTTACAGAGCCTTCAGAAGAAACCTCTCTGATGAGCCGTGTCCACGGCCCGCAAGAGGCAAGAGCGGCATTTGCAGTACCATCACGACTTGCAGGGAGCGGAACCTAAGACCGCACGCGAGCTGACGGGCACTTTCCTTGGAGACGGCGCCTGGATATTCCAGCTCCACGATTGAAAAGGTGGCGCTGCAGGCCTCCTATGGTCGGGCTTGTGCATCGGACCATGCCGCAATCCACCTCCATGCACCTACTACGTCCACCTGTTGCAGGCAGGACACTATAAAAAGCTGCCCGCACAAACATGCGAGCTCTGTGCGCGAAAAAACACGAAAAAAGGCAAGTGCATCGAAGGCCCAGGTTCCAAGAGGAGACACCAGGCCTTCAATAGTAGAATCAGGTTCGAATTTCAAAGCGGCCAGGAAGCAGCGGTATGGTTAGCAGTTACCCGAGTCGGAATCTCTCCCTACTGACCTCAAGGCATGCTTTCTGGCGAAAGTATGTACACAGGGCAATAGCACTTTGGCCGTCGCAGCATTGCGAGGGTCGTTGGGAGCTCAGGCTAGATAGCTGGCAAATGTATAACTGTATCTCTCTGCATGCGACGTTGCGGACAGCATGCCCACAATGACCCAACAAAAATCACAGTTCTTTGCTTTGGCCTGCGGTGTAAACTCTTCGAAAAGGCCGGGCTCTTCAAGAATACGGCAGCTTCCAAGGACGGCGGCCTCAGGGAAAGGCCGAAGAACTCGGTTCTGAGCTCCAGCCGCTTCTGGGAGCCAGACAATGGAGCTCAGTTCATCCCCTGCAGCAGGCAGCTGTTCCGAAGAGCACTGGTCTTGTTTTCTTTCAGGACTGCGAAGCCTGCACTGTGGATGAAAGCAGCTCTTCTTCGAGGATAAAGCGGCCTTCCTGCGCAAGGCTACTTTGCATTCAAATGCCTGGGACGTGCAAGCTTGGCCTTGTACTTCTGATCCTCCTCGAAAGCCACCTGTCTGAACCACCAGCATGTCACGGAGCACTCCCTTGCAAAAGTATCTGAATGCAAACATGAGCGAGCACCTCATATTTCCATCCGACGCGCTCTTCACCTTGCAGCCAGTCAAACTGGAGCCGGAAGAAAATAGACTAATAACAGTGATAGTACTGGTACGAGTACTAGAAAATAGTAACAGTAACACTTAGTAATGGTAGCGGCCTGCAAAAAGCGATGAGAAACACAAGCCAGGCTTCCGGTAAGGTTGGAACAGACCACGCAAAAGAGGCACCGGATCGTGTGCAAGCCTGCGGTGTTGGAGGGGGTTGTTCTGAACTTGGCCTTCCGTTTGTGGCTACCAAGTTCGTGAAAAATCAACTACAGGTAAAGCATAGTCAGGAGTCCGTAAGTGCGGCAATCGGAAACATCCCATACTCTGCATGTATCATCTTCGCCTGTGGTCATCACACTGTCTTCCAAAGGTCCTCCCGAGGCGAACGTTACGTCTCACATCCCTGCACCAAGTGCATTTGTCTGTCCTGCCGTGACATTGATCACTTGGTTGAAGAGCAGTGCATTGCCTGTCCTGCAGTCTTCAAACGAGTGTTGGAAGTGCCATGCACTGCGCACTTCACAGGTTTGGCATGCCTGCCCCGGAAATTCGTCGACAGCAAATCCTGTAGCACTCTGCGAAGCTGCAAAAGCCTTGTGACACAGACAGTGTGCAACGATCGCACCTTGTACTGCGCGAAATGGGCACCGCAAGCTGCACAGCAGTAGACCTCAGAAATTCCGATGGACGAACACTCAAACAGCTCGGAAAAAGTGTAATTACCTATATGTAATCTGACCAAACGTAGAGCACCTGGAGACGTTGAACCATGATAAAGCAAAAAGGGACTCCCCCCGGCCCAAGAAGATGCCAAAATGCCAACATCTCTCACAACTTGGCGTGAGGAAGCTGTGGCCCTTGCTGGCTCGTCGTCATTGTAGAAGCGCTGGAAAAACCGGCCCATGGTATCGGCTTCCCTATTAAGTATACTTTACAGCAACCATCAAAAAACCAATATGGTTGCACACGATCCCGCACAAGTCCGAGCCTGCAATGTCTGACCAATGATGGGAATGAAAAAACACACGCTCACAAGTCATTCCTCAACACACACACACAAGAGCCACTATCGACAACTTGAGCCGAATGCCGAAAACGAAAACAATCGATTTCTGTGGCCGCCCTGCCCCCCCCCCCCCCCNNCCCCCCCCCCCCCCCCCCCGCGCCCCGAACCACCGGAAAGGGAGCATGCTACTGTAATGCACATGTTTCAGAGCGCTCAGCATCGACGCTTCAAAAGAGTCTAGCAAGGGAAGCATGGGTAGCATCAGGTCGCTGCGTTGGCTGCAGGCCTGCCTGTCAACTCCAATCATCAGGCTGGGATTTTGAGAAGCCTCGAATCTGATCCGCTCAGCCGCGAGCGCCATCCCGGCCAATCCTTCTACACCCGCGCGTTGCTCCTGCTGCACAAAAACGAAACACCCATGGCTCTTCAAAAACGAGGGGTGTCTGTGTGCAATGGTAGTCCCCGGGAGCCTCATGCATGCGAAGCGCCAAGGTCCAGTGGCTCTGCTCCGCACAGCAGAGAACTGCAGCCTCAAGAAGGGCTGCTTCCAGCTCCATGGCTACAAGGGCCTGCAGGCCTACAGTAGCCGCAGCCGCTCTGAGTCAGGGGACAGTTGCCCCGAAACTTGTCTGTTGAACTCTCCATGTCTGCAGCATCCTCACCGTCCTTCACGCATCCGGCAATCTGTTGGGCATGGAGTTGGCAGCACTTGCAATCCACGGTCCCGAGTGCCAGCAGCCAGTGGCCAGATCTGTTGAATGCGCTCAGCATCGAGCTGAAAGTAATGGCCTCGCAAGGACTTGAACATACCAAAGATTCGCCATGTCTTCAGTGGGCATGACGAAGATGAAACTGTCGCCCAGCCACAGAAGGCCGCACACCTGAACGCTTCAGTGATTTACACGCTTTCACACCACGCTGCACCGACTTCAGCCGGGGAACCTGTGTCGAGGCCGATGTTCAGCGACTGCCGCCATCGGCTAGCAGCTGCACATGCGCTGAGTGCTGCATTGCCTGTCATTGCCTCCGCTAGGTGTGGGTCAACAAACGCGACAGCAGTGGAAGCTCCTGTCCACATCTAGCCATCCAAACTTTGCTCTGTCGGCCGGGAAGCGCTGGATTGGACTCGGCTGCTTGTGAGAAGGAGCATCAGTGACAGCGCCACAACCCACTGCTCCACATTTTCACCTGCGCTCAGGAAAGGGGCAAGCCAGTCCCTAAACCGCCCATATATTTGTGCCTCGTGATCCCTCGGGGTTCCTCGTTATAAATATCGTATGGGTAACCCCAGTCTCATTATTCAAGCCCCTATAAAAGAAAAAGAGGTTTCCGGGTTACGCTTCCTGGACAAGTGGCAGCTGCCCAGAAGGGCGGCCAAGCGTAGAGCGCTCACGCTGCCCAAGCCGACCTCAGCGCTTCTGCGAAACTGCAAAGGTCGACTTGTGCCTTTCTGTTCCGGCCCAAGTCAAGAGTTATTTTACATGGCTCGATAGAACATAAATGCAGTATAAGCACGAGCAAATGCAATTCATTGCTTCAGCGCTGACTGTTGAAAAAATAAGCATACGAATGCCGATTTCGTCACTGCTGGCATATATAGTGACATAGTGCGCCACGGCATTGTGAACTTGGCCTGTATTGTCCTCGAAGCGAGTCGGCACGACACGCGTCTAAAGCACGAACAGAACAAATTGTAGAGACAAGCCGACATTGTGCGAGCCCTACAACATATGTTACATGCTATACCTGCAGTGCTCCTTGAGAAGCTTCCGACAGGGTGTGTGCAACTGCTACTTGGGGTGGCGGCATACCAAAAGGGACATGAACATGCACTATTCCATATTGTGCCTAATTAGGCATGCTCAGGAATGCAGAAACAAAGGCTAACTCATCTGTTGAAATCTGGAGGCCTTCAAGGGCCCTCTGCCGAGAAGCTGCAACGCGATGACCCAACCTGGCCGAGTGCGTTCTAATTGACTGGCTTTGGTCCTGCTTGCTTGCGATCTGCCTGCTTGTCTTTGACAAGCCAGCGTGGTGGCCGAGAGTGATATCCTACAGACCAGAGGCATCGAACGACGATGCTTCCCATCCGCTGACATGGAAACTTTTAGCCGGCGCCGAGACGCTCATTTGGCATCAAGGCGGCTGATGGCATAGAACGCAAGGTGCACAAAGCCTGTTCCCACTGACGTCCTTGCAGGCTGACACTGCACGGATTCCGCTTACCAAGCCTGCTCCCTTGCATGGTCCCACAACTCACAAGCACTAGAGCACGAAGGCAAGTTGCCCGCTTCGCATGCGCTCATGGCCTGCAGTCGTGGCATTCTCACGGCATACAGAGGAGCAACTGCATGTGAGACTCTGAGGACACGGAATTCACGACCGTTACTGCGTTTCGGCCGAATGGCGACGGTGTAGCTGGCTTGGGAGAGTCGAATCCTGGCATCTGAATTGCAGGCTGGCAGGCACTTGGCCGTCAGGCTACCGTCGGCTAGCGCTTTGTCAGCCTCAGCTCCTGAGCCGACATCAGCAGCCCCAGGGCTGCATTCCACTTCTGGCCTGCCGGAGAGGTGCTTTGACCGGTGCCAAGCGGCGAAGCGGCGAAAGCTGAAAGCTGCCTGAACCGCAGGCATCGATGACTGCCAGGAGCGTGATCTCCTCCAAGCCACTAGTAAACCCTAAAAACCCTAAACCCTAAATTCCCTAGTAACTATTGTGGTAAGTAGTAACTAGTAAAAAATCCCTAGTAACCAGTAGCACCGCCTGCATATGTCTGTGCTGAGACGGCCGGGGTGCCGGCGTTCGGTGCCTGAGCTGTCTCGACCATAGTAGCCAAAAGCTCCTGAGGCAGTTTCATTGTGATGAGTATTGTCATTACGATTATCGCTATAAGAATTCTATTTTTTACTAGACTATAGTACAAGCAATAGCAGGAGTAGGGGCAAAAAGGAGTAAAGGAGTAGGGGTGTCAGTGCCAGTGGCAGTCGCAGATGGAGTCGCAGTCGTACTGGTGGCGGCGAAGGCGATCCACCGTTCAGAACCGAGGCAGCGTAAACCCTTTTTGCACAGACTTGTACATGCCCTAGACCCCTAACTCGCCAAACCCTAAACTCTAAACCCCTGCACTTCTCGTCTCCAGTGCTTCGCGCCAACAGCTGCCGGCAGCCGCCGCGGCTTGCAAAGCGCTCAGGGCCACGACATTGGGACGAACTTGCTCCTGCATGCAGAGGTCTCTTCCACTCTCCCATTCAGCAGGAGACCTTCGAAGTGGGACGCTCAAAATCAACCAAGCCAGTTCGATGCTAGACGGGCAAGGGCAACTGCGCCCAATGCCTGCCCCTGCAAAGAGGCAAGTTCGGACAGGTCATATCCTCGTGTGAAGGTACAGAGGCAGAGGTGTACCTTCACACCGGAATGAATCCACACAACAGCTAAGGGCCTGGAGCTACGGGCATTAACATGCAGCCCTTGCTTTCCAACCGGGCTTGTGACTGTGCACTCGAGCTACATGAAAGCTGAACATCGCAGATGTCAGGCTCCTCGTTCATCGAGCTGAGAAGCTCCAAGGCAAGCTCCCATTCGCCGCCGGCGGTGCAGGCTGTCATGGCCGTGCTGAAGCTGAAGACGTCGGCAGACCTGGGTTTCGCAGTTTTCAGGGCGCCCGTGAGCTGGTTTCAGCCAAGAGACCGCTTCGAGACCATGGTCCACAGTAGTGACAGTGCTTCCTCCCAGAGAGCTGCCTCCCCTTCAGCTGCCATCAACGCGCCTCGGAGATGCAAGTAGTCATGGCAGTCACGAGGAGGGCCGAGTCTTGCAACTTTCATTCGGGCAGGCCTCACGATGTGTTTAGTTTTGAGCAGCAGACTGCTTGTGATCGGATCCTCGGAGACGATGACCCCTGTCACCTGCCCGTGCTGAGAGGTATGTCAGTGCCTTTGGACTTGAGGCCACCCTTCGCCAGAACAAATACAACACTGACGGCACCTGCCTGTTCACTTTGTAGCGACCGCTGCCACTGCGAGGCGCTTGTTAACAAGCGAATTGTAGCTGTAGCTGCAACTTGATCCTAAGACGCCAATCTCTCATGCACAGGATCTGTTGCTGGGCCGAACTGCTGACGGCTGGCAAGCTCGACAAAGCAGCAGCGCAAGGAAGCAGCCACTTCCAATGCCGATCGCCAGAGTGACCACATGCCACAGGCGCGAAGAGCTGTGTTGCAGGCTACCTGCGCCGGACTCTCAATGTAATACTACCGGCCCGTGGAACCTGGCCTTTGCTGAATTTGCATTCTTGAAGTCTGTCTCGGTGATGCGCAGGCTCTCCTGTCGGGTCATCTTCTGGGACATGGAGAACAAGCTCGAGAACAAGCCCTCCATGTCAGTGTCCTCCCATTGTGCAGCACCAGCGCAGGCGTTCGAAGCCGTGCAGAGCGTCTTGTCGTTAGGAGGCACTGATATCCCTCGCGGGCTCGGGAGCTTGCATCGGAAGCAGCGAGACATCACTTGATGAGAGAAGGGCCCGCCTTGCATTGAAAGGCAGAGGCCCAAGGCTGTTGCCCACTTTTGGCATGTTGCCTCGTGCTGCACAACCCTTCTCTGCAGCAAACAACTCAACCAATCTTGGGCAGGGCGGCACATGATAGAGTCACAGCGTTGAACACGACGACGTCCGTCTGAATCGTCTGCTGAGCCAGCTCCGACAGCAATGCCAGAGACTGCTCCCATTGACTCTCCTGCCAATAAGCTGCGCGATTTCAGCCGGCAACGAACCTGCCGCCATCACTCCTTGCTACAGGCCACAGCCACGGCACTGGCATGGAAGGCATTCAGCTGCACCTTGGCTGAGAATGGCTGAGAAGCACCCCCACGTCGGAGGGAAATCCACCACGAACAAAAATGTCGGACACCGCTTGCACTGCTCCCGAGCAACCTTCTGCTTGGCCAAGGTGGCGAAAGTTTCAAGAGCTCTGTGGGCATCGAGACGGCTGAGTCGGCGAGTGACCTTGCAGGGGAGCCAGATCGACGAGTACAGAACGCACCACTCTACTCGCGTGGGCGACCTCCTTCTGAGCTTGTCTTGAAGAACAGTCCCAAGGGCCTCGGGTCCACTGCACACATCATGATGCAAAATTGCCTGCTGCAGATGCCCAGCCTCCGGAATCATCCGGCACCTTCATCCTCCGCTTGCGAGCTCCTCAATGTCTCCGCAGGGGCCAGGACCTCTAGGCGGGCGTTGGCCTGCAGCGGCGATCTGTCCTGCATCGGCGTTTTAAGCCTTGCTTGCTTGCTAGGGGTGTGAGCTCTCGGGGGAGCCCTGAACTTCTCTTGAGTTTGAGCCCCAGAGCCAACGATGTCTTACAGCTTCCAAGTTGTCAAGCTCGTGAGTCCAACTATTGGACCTGCGCCATACCAGGTGTGCCCCAGCCCCGGCGCCAACAGGCGGGCCGAGATTCGGGGTTCACATGGCTGCTTCGGGGTGATGCTCGCGGCTGCGGAGCAGGGCACGGGCTCATCACGCTGCCTGCCGGTGTAGCACAGTCGTCCCCAGTCGTGTGCTTATTGCTTTCGAGGGCCGGATCTGTGCGCAGGCTTCCTTTAATCCTCGTGCATTGTTCGTGCCAGGTCCAGTTCAGCTGGAGCTAGTGGGGCAGTCGCACGGGTCAAGAGCCACGAAGAGACAGCCGTGGACGGACCCCAGCATGGCAAAATCTCATACCGATTTCCAAAGCTCAGATGAACCCAGTCTCTGTACAGAGAAGTACTGTAGCTCACTTCTGCGTGTTACACTCCACTAGGCAAGGCCCAGCAGTTGCCGCAGGGATGTTGAAAACTTATATCTTTGTCCTTGTAGCTAGCCACATGCGCCCAAACGCCAGACACGTTGCAGTTGGCTGAAGGCTTGAAACCCCGTCATTGCCCCAAGCATGCCAACAGGGTTGAAAACAATCCCAGAATAGTAGCTCTGATCGGTGATGCTACGTTTACGGACGCTGGGGCCACTGTTTCCCTGTACTGTTCCACCGTGTCCAGGACAGGGTACTTGCTGCCCACCATGCCATAGGAACCCATGAGTGAGCCTTGTCCACCAAAGATGTAAATGGAATCGCCAAGTGCTGCGGCAACAAACCGGAACCGGTTTGATGGGATGCTGCCTCCATCGTACTAGCTGTCAGTAGCTGTGTCATACACCTCCACATCCATAAGCGCGACAGACTGCTCGGCCTGATTCTTGGATTCCCCACCGACGATGTGAAGCATGCCATTGAGCACAGCCGCGGCCTTATCCCCACGTGCTACATCCATAGTCGTTCGCTCCTTCCAGCCACCTTCCACGTTGTTCAAGAAGAGCACCTCCAAGTGATCCATCGGGTAGGACCAGTTGCCATGGTGGAAACCCCCCAAGGCAAAGGCCACCTCACCTGAAGTCGCCGCCGCCGCATCTCCACGCCCCTGGAGCAGGGAAGGAGCCTCGGACCAAGCTGCACTGCCTGATTGCGACGGGTCGAAGACCATCACGGTGGTCATAGCGAGATAATCCGGGCGATTGTATCCTCCGAGCACATAGATCTTACCGTCGTGGGCAAAGGCAGACAAATCCGAAGTAGCATTTGGCCAGCTTCCTGCCGTCGACCATCTGCCGGTGGTGGTGTCCAGAACATCGACGTCCGTAATGATACTGTCATCAATGGCACAGCCGCCAAATAAGTAGATTCGGCCGCCAACTGCTGCAGCTGCATGACGATATCGGCTTCGAGGTGCCTCTGCCAAAGTCTCGTAGCTGTCGGTCGCAGGCGTGTACTTCTCGGTTGCCTTGGAGATCCCGGTGCACAAGTACATGCCGGAATTCTCGGCCCACTCTTGATCGTTGGCACAGCCGCCAATGAGGTAAATGGATTCCCCCACTGTTGTCGCAGTGAGGTCACTGCGCTTGGAAGGCAAAGCTGCTTTGGTCAGCCATGTGTGAGTGTAGACATTGTCACTGACAGAGAATTGTCCGTGCACACCCACCGCAGCCAGCCCGATTGCTGCAAGGCATCGCTTCCACATGGCTTCCAGGCCGTTCAAGAACTCTGCGACGCTACGTCCTGGCGGGGGCCGAAGCCAGCTTTTGGAGCCACTTTGCCCACCATGCAACTGCTTGAAGTCACGCGACCTGTAACGACAGCTCTGCAACAGCATGACATCTTCCTTTGCTCACTTCGGCGGTCGGCTGTCCTGTTCCCCATCAGCTGTGCGGACCGGCCTCGAGCGAGACGCTGCAATATGCACGAAGTTATGCAAGTCAGAGTCATCAAATCGGGACAGGACTTGTCATGGAAGCTGGCATCGAGCATCAGGGCAGGAGCCAGGTGCACCTGTCCCGGTAGCATCCCGCACAGGGCCCTGCGTCAGCACCCCCCCTTTTAGGATCTGCGCATGCGTGGTTCGTAGGTCCTCGACCTGAGCCGAGAGTACGGGTCCACCCTTACTCTGATCTCTTGCGCCTTGATCGTTGCTGAGCTTCCGAGCAGTCACCTTCTCTTTTGGATTAGAAGCTGCTTCCTCTTGGAACCAAGCGTTTGGCCTCGGGAAATCCCAGCCCACAACGCCCGCAAGCCACTGGAGTTCGACCCCCTAGCGCTCGGCCACTCCAAAAGGTCTCCCCTGCTCATGGCCTCGGTTCCGTCTCTGCTGGAGATGCACTGCCCCTGCCACTTTTTTGCCCAAGGAGGGCGCAACGCGAACTCCGATGTGAGGGAAATGCACATCGGCCTGAAGGCCACGAGTCGCAGCTCTCCATCAGAAAACGTCGTTAACGGTGCGGAAATTGCTTCCGACCTTCTCCGAGAGGCATATGGTGGCCGACCTCCCGCGGACAAGTCTGCTTTCACAGACAGTCCTGACTTCATCACTTTCTGCGCACCTCTGCCCGCAACCTCGATTGCCCATTCCAATCTGGGTGTTGGCACGAACCAGCCTTAAGTACCTGTCCAAAGCCAGTTTGGCTTGCCCAGGGGTCAACCACATCATTTCTTGGCTGACAAGCGATGGCGCACCCGAGATTTTCAGGGGCGAACTCATTCCAGTTCGTGAGTCGCTCCTCTGCAGCTGCACAGAATCGGAGACCGAATTAATCTTCTCGCAGGTATTGCCGGCACTGCTGTTGCAACAACTTGGTCAAGTGTGCTGGGCCAAACTTTGGCAGCAGTTTTGCTTGCCTCAATCTGCCGCGCTGTTGGGGCAACAGGCTCCACGAGCGTCTGCAGCAGGACCTGAGTTCAAAGGCCAGAACAAGCTCTCAGAAATTGCACTGCCACCAGGACGTTCACTGAGCTCCATGCTGCTGCACCGGGGAAGCCGACCTCACCTGCGCCACTGCCTCGCACCACCAAGCAGAACAGAATCGACCGTTGACATGCACTTGCTGCGATCCAGACCAAGGTCGTCTGGCGCCAGGGAAGCGAATTGTTCGGCCTGGCGGTGCAAGAAGCTCCATAACATTCCCGCATCCAAACGAAACCTGACCAGATGCCGAAGGCCTCATCCTGCGTGAGGAACCCTGGAACCTCGGCATGCGACTGTTGCTGACAACTTTGGGAAACCAGTCGCCGCAGCTGGAAAGCTGTCACCGCTCCAAGTCCAAGTGCACTCATCAAGTTTTTGTGCTTTCTAAGCCAACGAATCTAAGCATTCATTCAGAGACGATTGCCGAAATGGCTGCGGGCCAGACGGAAGCCGTTGCAGCGTAAACAAACAGTGCAGCGACTCTGTGTTTTGCAAACAGTCGCATGCACCAGGAACGCTGTCAATGCGATGGGCTCCCATGGTGATGGATCATTCCTGACCATGGCTTCAGGAATGAATCTATCAACCGATCTGAGCCACGGTTGAATGAGTGCTGCCAGGATGCGCCAGGACCCGCAGGGCATTTGCATGAAAACATTGGTTGCCTCCATGACATTTGATGAGAAGTCCTCCGCACAAACCTGGGCAAGACACCCAAGCTCTTGCAAGTGCCATAGCGGCTCAAGCAGATCCGAGCGTCGACGAAGGCCATAGCGTCATCTATTCGCCAGACCTGTCCTTATTCAGCAGTTGCCCTGAATCTGCCGTCGCATTTCAGCAGGCCGCTCTCCAAACCCCCAGATGTGAATCTGTTGAGGTCTGGCATCGGCGGCACTCGAGGCAGACTGGCTGCTCCGGACGGCCTGCAATGTGTGGGTCTCTGCATGGACTTGAGATAAGACACGAGGCACGAGCGAGAACCTAGAATCCGCATCCAGGTCTGGAACTGGAGGGCGCCAGAAAGGCATTGCCCTCCAGGGTGGATGACCTCAGCAGACCACGACCCCGGCATGTTCGACGAAACGCGTCCCCCTGCATATCTGCAGGAAAGCAGCGGTTCCAGCTTTTTCATCCACGAGATCTCGTACCGCCTCCGCCTTGGCACGGCCTTGCAGGGCTGCAGGGCCCATGGGCACTGGCCAAGACAAGGCGCTCCCCGCTGCCTTCGGCAAAGGCGTGGTAGAGACGCTCATTGGCAGCCATGGCGCCTCGGACATGTCGCACACCTGAGAGCGGGACGCGCAAGGACGGCAGCTACCAGCTTGCAGACTTGCTTGCAGATGCTTGCAGTATTCCGGATTGAGTCGCTGCCATCTGAGCATGCCACGAGCGGCGCCACTGTGCCGAGAGCCTATGTACTCGATTCGACTGACTGCTTTGTCCATCGACGGCCAATACCTCGTTTCGAGCACGCATGTCCTCAAGGACTCATAATATCAGAATGCAATTGCTTTGCCCAGCCACTCCAGCACTGCATTCCACAGCATGTCCTGCAAAAGCCGCAGCGTTTGAATTTGGCACAGCTTTGCCATGGCCGAACACACTGTCCTGTGCGCATTGCACTCGAAGCTGCGAGCAGACAGCAGCCAACGCCGGAAAGTCGTCACAGGGATATAGCCATTTGAGACACTGCCTGAGAAATTGAATCGCATTTAGAGATTGACATGGGCATACACCCTGAAATCATGTGCTCCTCAGAAATGCAACAAAGGTGCAAAACGACCGACGGATCCTGGCAAAGTGGGGACGAGTTGTCCGGACGGGTGACCTGAGCTGTAGGGATCAGTTCGCCACAAGCTAGCAGCTAGAGATCTCTTCTCCAGTCTTCCCACCTCCATGCGTCGCGCAGACGATTTGTCGGATGGTGGACTGCATCAGCTTCCAGGTAATCAAACTTTGCTTGACATGGATACAAATATTCTCGGAGCTGCAGGTTTACATCCATGGCCTCCCCTGGGAGTTGCTGGGATAGCCCCCACTGCCCGCCATGGCCGGCCACCAGGAAAAGGAATTTAAATGATGAGCGAACGGCAAAGCTACGTCGCTTTGGCTCTAGCCTGTTCATAGCTCCAACCCTTGCGGCGCACCTGCATAGTGATCCTAATGCGATAACTTGTCCACCAGACCCTGAAATCTCACCACTTCACAATGCCCTGAAGTTTTTTACGGTTCAGTGCTGCCTGCAGCATGCATGGCGCATCCTCCGCAGCAATGCAGTTGAAGAGACAGCTAGATGATGTACATCTGAAGCCAGCACAACCCGCACGTTGGGATCGGTGTCCAGCCTGAGTGCCCCAGGTCTCGTCAGCAAATTTTTGCACTCCCGGCAAGCCGAAAATCCCGGACACCGGCGTGAAGGTCCTTCTTCTGGGGCACGACCGATCCTGCAGACATTCGAGGGAAATTCCAGGTGCAGAGGAGCAGTCATGCCAAAGGGCCAGCCTCTCCACTTTGTTTCTTCCCTTCTTCCAAGCTGGCGATGTTGACCACGTAGCATTCCTCAAAGGCTGAGTTGGGACACCTTCGCATGGTCTGCCTAGATCTGTCCAAAGAGGCATCGTAGCCAAGCTGGGGAAGAAGCCTCAGACGACATGTTGAGGTCGCCAGGACGTACCTCTCGGCAGACAGGTATCCCGGATCCAGCCTTCCGAGTGCCGGTGGTTGAGCTGCGCACGAGCCGCTTGGTGGCCAAGTTAAAGAAGCAGTTGACACCGTACCTTGTAGTCAAATCATAAGTAGTCACATGTAGCGGAGCTTCAACGTGTGCCGAGCACCGTGCTTCACACCAGTGCTTGGTGGCCGCCCTGCATGGACCATGCGGCTGTCCTCTGTTCTGCAAGGCTCTGAAACTGCAGAGCGGAAGGATTTCACCGTGGAGCTGCGCAGCCTCAGCGCCGTCTGCCTGTGCATTGGGCCACATGACAGCGCAGCCTGGCAACCGCAGGCAGGGACCCTCTCGCACTTGGAAATGGTGCGGTTCTAGAAACCACCTCTGCGGGGCACGAAGCTGAAGCCGAGGTGTGGGAAGTGCGTGTCTCCCTGGCCACTTGCGATGGCATGCTGTTGGCATGCAGAGCTCACAGATGCCGCAAAGCTCACCCCTTCAGCATCGGCGGGGAGTTCGTTCAGGTACAAGAAAATCGTGATCGGCCGAAACTTTCCATCCTGGGTAAGTTCTGCAGAAAGGGAACTACCATTACCAGCCTGAGCGACCTCTGGGGCGCAGGCATGGTGAAGCGTGAACTCTTGGCCTGGCCTGCATCAAAGCTTTGTCAAACTCCAAGAGCAGCTCCTGGAGGCCTTACTGGCCTTACTGTAGGGTTTTTTCCCTCTCGCATGGCAAAGGAACACAGCCCACAAGCGAGGTTGTTCGGGGAGCACTACAAGACAAGCCCACGATGTTGAAGGGAAGTGCAGGTCCGGACTGTAGGGTTTAGGGTTTAGGGTTTAGGGTTTAGGGATCCTTGGAAAAAGAAAAAAAGCAGGAGGTCACTGAATCTTAGGACCCCGGCTCGTACCGCAGAACAACCAGCCGCTCGAGTGTCTCGATGGGCAGCTTCGCCAGCCTTGCCAGAACCAGCCACTGTCCAACCGTGCCGATCAGGTGGGGGTTTCTTACAATTGAGGGGTCCCTGGTTGAGGGTCCTTCATATATAGATGCATATATATATATATATTCATTCATTCGGGGTCTATATCATGAGAGCCGCACTGCGCAAGGCGGTGCTCGATGCGCTGGACGATGGAAGTCTGCGCCGGACCTTAAGGTGACTCTAGGGTCCAATGTTTTCTATTCCAAACCGTCCAGGGCACAGGCGCAAAGGACAGGAGCTGGATGTTCGAGTCCTTGGTAGAGAGTGCTCGTTTCTTGTTGAACCCGTGCAGAAATGCCTTCGACGATCCCTGAAAGGCCGCGCTCAACACTAGCCCAAAGCGGATAGCGGATAGCAACGACGTACCCTGTTCACCCACTCCGTGCTAGCCAGGAACACGATAAACGTGGTCATCATTACAGCATGCAGAGAAGATGGGGCTGGCTAGAAACTAACACGCAATGCAGCCACTGAGTTCAGCTATAGTGATTCTCGCCCATACATCTTGTGGAAGCGCTGGGAAAACGGGGCATCCGCGTTTGTGGTGCCGTCTCAAAAGACCCGGGTCAGCGGGCCAAGAACAAAACATACCACATAGCAGGAGAAATTTACAATTCTCCTGCTTATCTTCAAATGAAGAAAGTGTCTTCCGCCGTCTCAGGGAAAGGTGCCTCGAGGGTGCATGTAGTAGGGCAGTGGGCGCTCGGACTGCAACGGCGAGATCACTTGCCGTCTGCTTGCGGGAGTTTCGAACGTCCAACCTCGCTCCTGCAGCAAGCAAGAGAGGAACGACACTAAAGTGGCCGCTGAGGATGCTGAACATCAGTGGTGCCGCCCCTGCGTGGTGATACGATATGAGGGTCAACCGCGAGGGGCTGAACTTGTGCCGGAAGCTTCCCAGCTTAAACACCAGCCACCACATATTCCCCTCTGCTTCGAACTGCTCGTTCACGTCTGCCTTCGCTTGGATTAAGAAACTGATCGGCTCATAGAAGCCGCCTTGAACCACGAGGGCATGATGCAAACAGAACTTCAGGCTTAAGGAAGGTGCCTGTGACATCAGCTCGGCCATCGCGTCCCGAGCAGCAAATGCCGAGGCTATCTGAAGAGCGCTGAGGCCAGGATTGCAACGATCAGAGGGATCTGCCCTTGCCTGGCACAAGCACCGGATACAACATGCATCATTGGCACCACACGCCCAAAGGATGGCAGTTGCATTTCTGGCGTCCCGTGCATGAACGTCAGCCCTTGCCGATAGGAGCGTCAGTAGGACATCCTGATTGTGGTACACCGCGGCCAGAGAAAGCAGCGAGAATCGCCTGGGCATCGCCAACTCCTTCTTGGGCTTGGTGATGGCATCATTGGGATCAGCTCGGCGAGCAAGCAAGGACTGCACCAAGTCGGCGCTGCCCCTCACAACAGCAAAGCAAATCGGCGACCAGCCAGCCGAGTCCCTCTCTAGCGGACTTCGGAGGAAGTTCTGGTGCAGGAACCGTGCCAGCTCGAATTCATGTGGCTGATCGAAGGAGTCAGCATCTGTGACGAAACCTTCAACCAAGCCGTCGATTGGGTCCATGCTGAGGCCCTGGAACCAGCGCGACTTTTGCTCGTTCAACAAGAGCCGGTAGTTGTGGAGGTCGCCCCTCTCCCGATAGTACCAGAGCTTGTTCCAGATCATTTGAACCAGCATGTGTCCAATCCTCGTCCTGTCGGACTCAACGGTAAATGTTCCCATCGCAGGAGGCAATCTGAGAAGGTCATCGTTCAACTTCGCATGCGTCGGGCTCTCGATGATGATAGTGCAACTGTCATTCCTGGCCGCAAGGTCCTGGGCCATCTTCTCGGCACGACACCAGCCTCAAGGTGCGGAAGGGGTTTTCTCGCGCACCCCCTTCGCTTCAGCAGACTAAAGGGGTAGTTCTCTAAATTAGGGTCCCCTTATAGGTCCCGCAAATAGTACGGCACCATCTCAAAAAAAAAGGGATCTAAAAGGGAATCTAATTTATATAGAGAACTACCCAAAGGGGTTGAGTGCTAAGGTTGAAGACTCGGTGCCCTGACCTGAAGAGGATGACACGGTGACACGCACACGAAGCATGGCCCCTGCGCAAAATGACACCTTTGCCATGTGGACATCATGACCCAAGTCGTATGAAGGGCGCATCAAGCCCGAAGTGCGGCACTGGCAGAGGGTTTGGGAAGAGGGTTTGAAGGCTAGTGGTGGGTTTTTGGGGCCTGCAAGTCGGTTGCGAGCCCGCGGTCCCTTCTTCATCATGCACTCTGGCTACGATCCAGTAGATTCTTCAGAGCCTCCCAGAACTCCTGTACTCCTGTCATGCAAGTCATTCTTCACTAACGAAGGCTTAGGGCCGAACTCCGAGTAGCAGCACTAGCCTTCCACGTACCCATGGCTACCAGGCTTATGAACCCTGTTCCCACCTCGCAATGCACTTATTTCAACCAACCAGCCTCTGCCAGCCCACGTCTCATATGAGAGACTTTCCCTTTGCTCGGCATGTGCCAGTGCAGGGCAGAGAACCACGAAGTACTTGCATTTGGAAACGTAGGAAGGTATGCCGCCGATTGCGCGCTGTCGATTTCGACTTGCACGTTCAGATGTATCCTGCGGGCAACACAGGAAATCGTACCAAATGTAGAGAGGTGTGGACGTCAGGTCTGCTGCTGTTGGACACTTCAAGCGGCCGTGAAATAGCTCTGACTGAACCGGCTGGCTTACTTGGGCCACTCCAGACAGGAGATTTCTCAGAGCCGCTTGCAACACTTGAAGCTGCTCGTTGTCTGGATCGGGATGGTGGCTCGCGAGCCACTGGTGTGAAACGAACATCGCTCTCCCCATGGTCTCGTCGAAGATGGTGAGACGCTCCGCTTCCACCATTTCTTCGTGTGCCAACAGCTTGAGGAGCCCCAGGAAAGTGGGGAGAGGCAGCGTGTACATGGGAAATTCCTCCCGAAAGTCCAGGCCCGACCGGGTTCTTCTCACTCCTCGTGCTCTTTCTCCCTAAACCCTAGACCCTGGGCTCTAGACTCTACGGTTACCTTCAAACACAAGAAGTCAGTCCTTCTGCTGCTCCCACGCGAAAGGAACCCGCATGTCGGACCGACGGAGTGTCTGTCATCGAAGGCATACCACTGCAAGGCTCAAACTAGCAGGAAAGAGCCGTGCAGGAGATGTTGGAGTTGAGTCCTTAAGGCTCAGGGTTTTTCTGGGGAAGGTCTACGAGTCGAACATGTGAAGGGCTTAAGGGTCTGGGTGATGAAGGCGTCTGGCATCGTCAGGCATCGTCAGGCTTCAGGGTTTAGAGCTCATGGGGTTCTGATTGAGATTTTCTGTCGGGTTTCTCGAGCTTGATAGCTTTTGCTGACATGGAAGCGCAAGGGGGTGAAGGCCTTTACGCTCTCACAACTCGGACAAGCCAGGCGAGGTTCCAGAGATGCGGGTCGGAAGGCCTTTAGGGTTGGGAAGGCGGAAAGTCCAATTGGCGCGCATGCAAACTTGGATCGCGAGTTGATTGCAGCAACTTGCCACCTGAGCCTTGCTTGTCCAGAGCGAAAATCGATGTCTGCGACTTGGCCCGCCAGCCTCCTTGCCTGCTCGCTTACAAAAGCATGCCTTCCTCTGAAATGCCTGCTTCCCCTGCGCCAGATTTCCAAAAGCATTCATCTCCCTCACAAGGGAGGGTGACCAGGGCGACGATCATCGAATGCACGTCCAAAGCTCCACTGCTGGGCGCCCGTGCTGGGCAGCAGCCGACTCTACCGTCTCAGCCTTCGCGTCGGAGTATTTGCCGACCTCTGCAAAGATGACGCCCAAGCAACGGAGATCTCCAAATGCCATGAAGACGTTCCAGCCAAGCAGCCAGAGAGCGGATCCAGCCACCCTGGGCCAGATCACAGAGGTGCTGGCACCTACCAGCGAGAGGCTGGTAGAAGCAGATCGGTAATGACCATCTGTGCATGCTACCATGGACGGCCGGAAACACAACAAACCCACACCGCGCACGAGGACAGGTGCAGTTTTCTCATCGACTCCTCATGTCTTTACGACTTTGACTCCATGCTTTCGACAGCGATCCAGCGCCATGGCAACCTGAGGGAAGGAAGTTCTGGAAGTCACCCGTTTCGCACCATACTGGCCGTACCGGCCCTCTGCAACCAGGCCGCATTGGCCGGCGTAACCTCATTCAACGTGCCGACCAGGCTCTGGGCAAAATCCTGCTCCGTGATCTCCTGCTGACAGTCTGCAATACCTATAGCTCTGCGGCACGGCCCATCGTCTCAGGACCGCACCAAGGGGCCGGTAGTCGGCACCAACTGGAAGAGCACACAATCCAGTGTCTGCCTCAGCCCTGCGATGCGCCTCGCGTTCAGTGATGCTCTCCGTGTCTGTGTCGTTTGTGTCTGATGATGCCACTGCACGTTCGATTTCGGCCGTGATGCTTTGGATCAGGCAACTCCTCGGAAACATACTCCAGGTCCTCCTCGCCGGGCGGCGTGCTGTAAGGCATGGTGGGTCTGTCCTCAGGCAGGGCTCACAGCAAACTCACCACATGCCTCGCCCCCCATGTCCCAGCCAAGCATCGTAGAAGTACATCCAGGGCAAGTGATCATGCCCGCTTTGGGCAGAGCCGGAGCCAGCGCTGGGCAAGAAGCCTGCGTGACGGGCTGCGCTGCACGCTTACCACGGCGTTTCTGGACTCTAGAGCTCTGGAGTCGGAACAGGAAGTGTGTAAACCCTTGGTGCAGCGAAGCTTCGATAGACACGAGCAGCACCTCCCCGCAGGAGGTGTGTTCGGAAGCGGATATCCTCGGGCCGACCCTCTCTCTTTCTCCACCTCTAAGACTCTAAGCATATAGATATTATATTGTATTATAAACTATATTATATACTATCGTAAGAAGGTAGTGAAGACATGCCGAGCAGCAGCGAACTGGTTCGCAATAACCCGATTGTTGTGCCGGTCGAAAAAGTCCTAAGCTCGAGCATCTCATGTGCGTAGGATGGCCAAGGCTCTAAAATCGCTTTGAGGATGCCCCCCCCCCCCGCTTCAAGCCCGAATCACCAAATCATACCAAATCCAACTATTCGGCCTCGGCGGTCTCGATCAGACAGCAAGTTGCAAAGCCGGTCAAACATATGGAGGGTTTTCTGCACAAGCCTTCTTTTGGGTTGTTGTTAATACAAACCATTTGAAATGATTTGAAAGATCTCTCCGGCAAAACGGAGCCCAGCGGCATCGAAGACTTCGAACTTCGCCGCTGCGTCGAAGTACTCCCCCGTCGCTGTACCGAAGAGGCCCGGCTTCTCCTTTGGGTTTTCCCCCCTTAGGGTTCAGGGTTTAGGACCTTTCTTTTCTTCAGAACATTCCCATGATAGCAGAATGGAATAGCAAAAAACCTAGACTGGACTAAACCATACTGTACCGGCGCCTATATTTAAACACCCGGATATTTAAACAGCTTAAACAAGTCATTTGCACCAGGTCTAACAGCAGTGGCATTGGGCCGCCCAACTTTAAAACATCCGGAAGCTTTCTTTCCGTCCCCCGCTTGCCTTCCAACCC